TGACGCATACCTGCCCCGACGTCACTTGCCGCCCGCCTTGCCTTGCCAACGCCCCTACCGCACACCCTCGCTAGCTCATTGCTAGTGCTCGCCTGCCACCCTCGCACGTGCCCACGCCTTACCCTTTACGCATGCGCTTGCTTCCTTTGGTGCGAGACATGCCTTGCCGCCCACTCCTTGTTAAATAAGAAAATCATTTCCTTTTATTTCCTTTTGTTTTATCAAAAATAGTTTAAGGATTAGTTGCTTGCTTTTTACAAAATTATTGTAGAAGGTCTTTGTCCTTGTACCTGTTGTATTTGGATAATGAATTTTGAGTTGGAGTGGTTGAACTTAAGATACTCTATTTTACTCTCGGAACATGCTTGTTTGATTATCAAACTCATGGAGTGCTTCTGGCCTCGAGTATAATGAGTATTCTATCTGTTCAAGGTAATCCATCTAACCTTTTTCTTTCGGGTTGAGTGGCCCATACCGCTTGGGTTGTCACTTATCATACAGGTTAGATGGAATCTTTCTGTTTCGAGAATCACATTAAAGATCACAGTGGCAATCTCGTCAACCATCTATTCCGTGATTGACATTGTTTAACTACTTCTCAAGCATTCGTGGGAGTTATCATATCCTCAGCTTGGGTGAACCCAAGGATCTTTCATCTTTGATTGAGGTTAGGTTTATTCTATGAAATCGGCACAGATAGCTCTCGATCCACGTGGCATGCTGTGATTTATCCTTCCAACAATTTATATTAAAATTAGCTAATGACAAACTTATACAACATAATAACTAGGTAAATTGGCAAAATATATAATAAATTGGTAAATTGGCAACATAATAATAATAATAATAAATAAATAAATAAATAAATAAATAGAGGAGGAAAAATGTCAAATAGAAGCAAGTTTTCTTTTCTTGATGACATTATTTCTCTTCAAACTAATTCACTAAATAACTAAATATTATGTCACACAAATTTATTATTATTACCCATTAATAAGCAATAGAGGACTAAATTAAAAAGTATTAAAATATAAAAATTAAATTGGAACTTTTAAAACAATACGGACTAAATTAAAAAAAAAAAAACTAGCATTTTTTGGATTACCAATACCATCCAAAAAAAAGCTTCCTGTTACAGTTGTTTTCTTATCCAAATTGTCCAATAATGGGAATAAAGATATCCATCCGTCCAGCTCATCCACACGTGTCAACAAGCGATTGCAGTTTCCAAATCACAACGGAGCCGAAGCTAATCTATCGATCGAAGAATCGCAAAGAAACGATTAATTCAGCGTCGAGAGAGAGAGAAGCTGAAGAAGCGATTGGTTAATTTCAGCGTCGGGATCTCACACGATGGGAGGAACCGGCCCTTGCTGTTCAACTCTTCCTTCTAGAAGGTGAAGTTTCTTTCCCCCTCTTTTCTAATCCTTGCGCCTAAAAACTTCAATTAAATTCTTCGAAATTTTATTCTAATTCTTCGTTTTAATCTAATCTTCATTTACTTACCTTCAACAACTTCACTCGATTGTCACTTGATTGCTGTTTTTTTACACAATATCGTTTGCTCTTACCATTCTGATTTCTGGATTTCTGGATTTCTGGTTTCTGTTTGTGTGACTAGGGTGGTTCAAGAGGAAGAAAACGGAAGTCTAATGTTTAAAAACACTGCGATTTTATGCTTCTCACTGCCAATTTGGGATTACTTCAACTATAAGCAGTTTGGTTACACTTGTACAAGTTTAGGGTCAGAGTTTTATGTCTATTTTACTCGTAGTCACTCTAATTTAAACGATTTTAGGTTGAATTACAATTTAAATTTTTAGGACTGTGTCTTACAAGCTCCTCAACTTTTAATTTCTCTGAATTTTAAAAAATATTTAATAGGTTTTTAAACTTTCAATTTTGTGTCCAAAGATATCTCACCCAATTTTGTATCAAATAAGTACTTGATCCATTCGATGGATTTTAAAATTGAAACCATTGGACACCATTAAAAGCTTAAGATTCTATTAGACATAAAATTTAACTTTATTCCTAATAGATCGTGAATTTTAAAAAATATGTCCACGAATTGAAAGTTCAATGATTTATTAGATACAAAATTAAACGTTGAGAGATCTATTAGACATTTTAAAAAACTTAGTGACCTATTAGACACTAACTTGGATGTTGATGGATTAAACTTAAACTTTATAACTAAGATTTTAATAGCTCATCCAACTTTCAATTTTGTGATTAATAGATCTCTACCGTTAATATTCCATTACCAGTCAGCACGTTCGTCTTAAATGCAAGACACGAAGATCTAGACACAATCTTATAAGTTTGAACTTTGAAGACCAAACTTGTAATTTAACCTTACAATAGGATAGTTTTAGTGCCTTTTTAATTTAAAATTAATTTTCTTGCATTGGACACTTTTCTTTTTAAAGCTTTAGGAATGCACCATAATGCTCCAAAAAGATCATATCATAATTCCTACCCTATATGATCATTAAATCCCACATCCTGTTGATGATATAATGGAGTACTAAGACAATTGAAGTGACTCTTCGACTATTTTTATTCCCTATCTTTCATTCTCAAATGTGTGGATTTTTTTGGTGATTGCTAATGTTCTATGTTCCAAAATAATGTTTGATTTTATGGTCTTGTGATTTTCCTGATGCACGTTGAACGCCCATTCAGGGGTTTAAAGAAATCTGTTTTGATGATATGTTTCCTAATCAAGTCTTTAACATTTTTGAACTGAAAGATGATTATTTTATGGGAAATGAAAACAATTTACACTCTCTTTTGTTGGTATGAAATAAAGGGATTAAGTATGTGTTTCCTCCAGCAACCTAAGGGCGTCATGGATTAATATAAAGACTGGTCCTCATAGAAGAACTTATCCGCGGAAACAAGTTCTGAGAAGTGTTGGAATCAAAGCTGAAATAAATTTTGTCAATGTTGAAGAAGCCAAAAAACTAATTGCAGTTGATGGATATGCAATCGTCGATGTTCGGGACAAATCGCAGTTCGATCGAGCTCACATTAAATCGTGTTACCATGTCCCTCTTTTCATTGAAAACCAAGACAATGACCTCGGTAAAACCTTCTGCTTCCCTGTCTATTTTGACATAAAGATTCGTTTGGGAATACTTCTGAAGTAAGTGTTTTTAGAACCATTTAGATAAAAGTTTTTAGGTTTAACATTTTGATCCGTGAACTTTAAAGAATATTTTATTTTAGCATTTGAACTTTTAAATTTCCACCTTGGTACTTAAACTTTCAAAATATCTCTTTTGATCATTAAATTTAAAAAATTAACTATTTTGATTCTTCTATTTTTATTTTAACCAATAAATAACATGATTTTGAGTATGTGTACTAATGTGTGTTAACGTAAGCACGTATTCAAACCACATAGGTTGAAACTAAGTACTGGATAATCAAACTTTTTGGTGGAAAAGTAATTAAACAATGACCAAAATAGTTGTTTTTTTTTAAAGTTCATAGGCTAAAATAGACCTTATGAAAGTTGAACAATTAGAAGAAATACTTTTAAAAGTTCAGAGACTAAAATAGACATTTCAATTTTGTACGAATTTACTACATACAATTTTTTGGTGGGCGACAAAACACAAGAAATTCTTTTGTAATTACAGTTTACAAATGATAGTAAATGATTGGAAAGTTGTGATTGTACTTTAGGATGTTCTCTTTTGGCCCCAATAACTTTTGAATATAGAGTTTCTGTTTCTTATCAAAGAAAAAAAATGTAGACATTTCAGAGACCAAAATAGAACAACAATTTTACTTATAAAGTATTTTATGGTCAAGAATTTGGGTCAAAAGCATTCTATTAATGATTTCTCACAAAGTACTTTAAAGTGCTTTGATTTTTTAAAAAGCTGTTTTATATTACAGGATTATTTTGAGTGGAGAGTACTTTTAGCGAGAAAATTGACCGTTAAATTTGAATATTTTGTTATGCAGGTACTATTGTGAAGAGGACAGTGCACAACAATTTCTCTGGTCTCTTCTTTGGGTTGCCATTTACCAAACCCAACCCTGAGTTTGTGCAGTCTGTTAAAGCACAGTTTTCACCTCAAAGCAAGCTATTGCTTGTTTGTCAGGAAGGATTAAGGTAATTTTTCTGTCAGTACAAGCTTTTTAATAGTTAATGAGTATGACTTTTCGACTCCATATACATATTTTAGACATCTAATTGTGCCTGATCGATTAGCTATGTTCATTGGATCTTGTTAAACATATTGAAAATTTATCACTGCAAGGCGGTGATAACTACATATAAGTGTTGGGAAATTAGATGCTTCGAAACAATATCCACTTCCACAATTATATCTAGTAAATAACAATCAAACAACACAAATAAGAGATTAAAGAGAAAGCAATAAACGATACAAGAATTTATACTGGTTCACCCAAACAGTTTATGGGCTATGCCCAATCTTCCGCTCAATGTGGGTTCCATTGATGAAGAGGTTAGATACAAACACTTGAATATCTCACCCCGATATTGACTGTCTAAAGGTCCCAACAAAAGTTCCCTAGCTTCTAAGTATTTAACACAATATAATTAGGTACAGGAATGAAAAACTCTCACTAAACCCACGGGTACGGAATCTTTTTCACACACTGCCCACAACCACTCAATTAACTTTTATTTGGATTCCGTACCAATAAAACCTAAACAAAAAGTCTCTCTTTATAGGAAGTCAAATATCCTAATCCTTATAGGAAAAGATAATATTATAATCTTTATAAGAAAACAATATCCTACTCCTTGTAAGAATCTATAGTAGTGTTGAAAATCATTTTCTTCATAGGACATGAATTTCCTGTTTTTGCTCCATTGTCCCAACAGTAAGTACTTGGGTTGTTAGTGATATCTTCTAACATCCTGAGTTCAAGCCTCTAGGTTGAAAACTTAATAACTTAAAAGATTGTTCTCTCGAAGATGGCTTTGGGATGGATGAGATCGGTGGGGAGTTGGGCATGAGTGTATAGTACACCCAACTATCAAAAAGGAAAAAAACAAAGCCAAAGTAGTAAATATAAAATATAACGAATGAAAATCTGTTCAGTTGAATAGTGTGAATGAAAAAGAAGTTAGGTTGTATTTGATAACTGTTTTATCTTTTAAAATTTAGCTTATAAACACTCTTTTTTTCTACATGTGTTTTTTAGTTTTGTTATCTGTTCTTTATACATCGTCAAAATCTAAGTTAAATTTTAAACATAGTAAAGAAGGCGGGAAAGAAAGCAAGCATAATTTTTGAAAAACAAAAAATAAAAAATGAAACTATTATCAAACGGGAAGAATAATCTGTTTGTTTTCTTTTTGATTGGTAAACAGGTCCACTGCAGCTGCCGACAGGTTAGAGAAAGCTGGTTTTGAAAACATAGCATGTATAACATCAGGACTCCAATCTGTAAAACCAGGTCAAATTTTCAATCCTTGCTAGTCCACCTACTTCTATATTTAACTCCAAAGTTTTGAACATAGAATTCAAATTTTTGGTTTTTGGTTTTTGGTCTGCTAAAACAGGCACATTTGACTCGGTTGGTTCGACCGAGTTGCAAGATGCTGGCAAAGCCGGTTTGGTGACGATCCAAGGCAAAATATCAGCTGTACTAGGAACTGTTCTTATATGTAAGTTTTCTAAACCCTATACCATGCTAATGTCTTGCTTCATTTTCTAAAGTATTGGTAAATATATACTTTTCATCAAAAGGGGTTATAAATATAATATTGGGTCAAATGCAATTTTATGGTCCCTGTGTTTTTTTGAAGCTAGATCTTAACACAATGGAAACTTTTCAGTACAAAGCTATGGCTACATTTCAAAAAAAATTATTGAGTATAATGTCGTGCTATGATCGATAAAAACTAAGATCAAAACAAACAATTTGAAAATATAGGACTAAAATGAATAAAAGTTGAAAGTATAGGGATAAAATGGACATTTTAAAAGTAAAATGCCAAAATAAAACGAAGCTTAAAAAACAAAACTAAAATTGTATTTTTTTTAATTTCCTAGAATCGATCCCGTGTGGTTTATGCTAATAGATCCCTATAACCGGGACTCGTTATACTTAAGAACTAAAAGTGTATTTAAAACTATAATAATTAAAAAAAATTGTGGTATTTTTAAAAAGAAAACAACATTAATGATTGATTAAACATAATTGTAGCGATCTTTACTGTTACGATTAATTAACTTTAACAATTGATTTGTGTCTATTATAGTTTTTTCTATATTTGAAAGGACCAAAAAAAAAAAAAGAAATAGTAAATTCTGTCCAAAAAAATTTAAAATTACAAAATTAAAAAGTCAAGTTGTGTGGTGGTTATTATTAGTAAAATAACAAAATAAATAAACGGATTTTCATAGATTTTCGTGTTGTGAATTTTTGGTAAGGCCCATCGTTTATTTCTTGAGTTCCATTTGTTATTGTTACACCCTTTTTTTTTAGAATCACACTTAAAAAGTATGTTCATGGGGCGGATGTCCCCGCCCCCACCCCCATTTAAGCCTCCATCCCCGCGAACTTCCCCATAAAATTTTGCAGGGATCGGGACAGGGATTTCCCATAGAGAATTCGTGGGGATCGTATTTCCGGGAAATTTTTCTCCATATATTTTTTAAAATTATTTTTCAATAATTATTTGTTTTTGTTAAAAAAACTTTTATTTAATTACTTAATTTTTAAGGTCTAATTCTCTCAAATATTTATATTAGGTGGCTAGGTAGAAAAGGATAAAAATAATATATATATAAAGAGGATAATATAATAATAATAATTATTATATATATAAAATTAAAAAATGATGCGGGGACCCCTGTCTCCGTTCCCATTTAGGTGGTGGGGAAAGGTTTTTTCCCATCCCCGCCCCACGGAGAATTTAAACGAGGATTCCGTGTCCCATTTCGGCGAGTCCCCGTTGGGACAAGTCCATGGAGAAAATGAACGTCCTAATGACACTCCCTAGTTTGACTAGGAAAAATATAATGTAAAAACATTATTTTTAAAGTATTTTTTTTGAAGAAAATTAAATGCCCATGTAAAAGCATTTAAGTTTTTTTTTAATATATTTTTAGAAATTTTCTATCTATTTTTTATTATTTAAAGTTTATAAAGTGCTTTTACTTTTTTTAAACATTCTTTAAAATGTTAACCACGTACCATCACTTTGGAAAAAAGTAATTTTAGTCTTACATAAACACTATTTTTTATTAGCAAGTCTATTTTGGAGTTGTCTTCGGCTATTTTTTAAAATAGCCAAAAACAGTTTTACCATGACCAAAAAATTCACTCAGAATCATTGTGTTTGGAAGCAATCTATTTTTCTTTTTTAGAAAAAGTAAAAAATATTTAGGTTTAGTTTGAAATTGTTGTGATGGTTAAAATAATTGTTTGACAACTATTATTTTTTAAAAAATATGCTGTAATATGACTGCTTTTTTAAATGAATACTAAATTGTTGTGATTTTTAAAATTATTTTTATATTGATTTTAATACATAAATTCGTTATAAGATAATTATTTAAAGCTTTATATGATTTAAATTAAAATTTATATTGTTTACCATAAATTACTTGATAAAAGGTCAAAGAAAAATAATTGTTATAAAAACTTGAATTATCCAAATTTTGTTCCAATTTAAATACAAAAACATACCAGGGAAATAAGGCGAATGGATGTCAAAATGAAAGTCAAAGGGAAGGAGTTAGCACCTATATCTCAAGATTATGAGTTCGAATCCCTTACTCCTACTTGTTGTACTAAAAAAAGAAAAGAAAGATTGAGGGTGGATAAGAATGATTTTAAAATTGCTTCCCATGTTTAAGAAGAAAAAAAAACGAAAGAAAGCCTCTCTTATTTGTGTGCTAGTTAGTAACGGGGCCCGTGCTACAAGAAAGCACAATGTGCCAAC